AAGGTCACAAGAAGTGCCAGTATCTTCAAAAACGTCAAGCCCGGGATTTTAGATTTAATGTACGTATACACCTCATGAAATTGTGTTCTCTCTTTATATATAAATTATTTCTTCTTATTCTTTCCCCCTATTGGCAGGAGCTCATCAATGTATGTTGTACATATCAACAGTGAGTTTGATTCTCCCTCCACCTTGTGTCGAGCCATCATTAATCAGACATGTATCTAAACTTCTTTGTCTTTGCTGTGTAGATAGTGACTGATCCATGGTGAAGTTGAGGTTCGTCCTCGTTCATAATTTCTTTTGGACTAGAATACCTAGTTTAATAATGAAATGAATCCACAGTTTTTCTTTCGCTGACCAATTGCAGATGAATTTGCTCAAAGCAAGAAACCTTTGCCAAAAGTGGATGGGTGAAAGAAGGCGTTGGAACTTTTAGCAAGCGGACTAAAGGGAATCCAAATGTAGTCTCTATTGATGTCTACTGTCAAATGTACACACACTGTTTGATTTTTTTATCAAACAGTTGTGCGACATAATAGGGATTTAGAATTAGAGTTTGCAAATGAGATTATTTGTTAGTATTTCCTTTGTTCAAATTGGTCAATAGGAATCTAAACTTCTTTGGCATTTCTGTGTCATATTTGAGTGTCAATCCCCTGTCGCTGTCAAAAGTGGCATACTTCTCAACTTAATATGTACCATCATTCCTTCAAATAATACTTGGCACTCTGTATGTATATTAAACAATCCTTTTATTCTTATATGATACGTTGGAGTTGTGGATGTGTCACCAGAAAAGGGGTCATCGAGCTGCAAAGATATAGGGTGTCTTTGGTACGGTTTTCCAATTTTCTCATGTTTGGTTCGCTTTAATGTTTAGAAATTGGAACGGTTATCGGGGTATTGTCCTAGTTTGGGTGTAGGGGTTGGGTACTAGATCAATTATTGGGGTTGATTCGGATCATAAATTAGAGTATATTTTAGTCTCAAGCCAAAAAATAAAAAATATTTTTCATTCATCAACCAAACATTAAAAAATATTTTCCAGAAAATATTTTCTACTCACCAACCAAAAATGAGAAACTAAGTTAGAAATCCACTTATTATTCAAGAAAACATTTTCTAGGAAAACATTTTCTAGGAAAACATTTTCCTTCATACCAAACACACCCATAGTATGTAACATTACACATTTGCACAACTCTAAGCATTGGATAACATAATTGCATTCACAACTTAAAGATATGCAAGCTCTATTAGTGCGTGATTGGGTGCTGAAGTATTCTATGTAATGAATCTTGAAGAATTTGATAATCACAAGGATGAATAAGAAGGAAAAAAATGAATTCTTAGACTCGTAAGAGAGAATAGAGTAAGGTATTGAGTTGTTTAGTATTGCACATAGATGACACCGAAAGGAGATTCTATGAACTGATGCTATGAGATCGAAAGAAGATTAGTGTCATTAATGATGACCCAGCCTATCCATGAATGTTCATCACTATAGAGCAACACAATTACCCCTATGTGATATCGATTCCCAATCCCCGCACCCCTAGATTACTTGTTAGTACTTATTTGATTTTCTGAAATTCTAGTTTAATGGTGACTATTGATAACCAAACCTTTTTTGTAAATTTGGTGGAATCATCCACCAACTTGTTCTTATTACTACAAATATGACTATACATTCTAAGTTTTTGATAGAACTGTGGAATTCAACCCCAACTCTTTGTTGGGTATTTTTATTGAGACGACCGCTTACTCTTTTGATAAGTTTTGAAGAGTAGTTTAAGCGATATTAGAGATTGATGGGAAAATGGAAATAAACAGTCCTAAATTGCCCTTCTCGGTTCCAAGAACGAAGTTGCAAAAAATAAGAGGTTTTTGGGACATTGTTGCATAAAACTCCGACTAACCCCGCTATACCAGCATCGCCATAGCGGCCCACCCGCTATAGCGAAGCAACACCCGGTGTAGTGTCTTGTACGGAGACAAAGACTCGTAAATCCTTCTTCAAGCCCCTATTTGGAAACACACATTCGAATCTTGACATTCTAAGCTAACCTCTTCACGTCAAGTTCGATACCAATAGTTTTACTCACCCCAATTTGGTTCTGAAAGGCCCTATTGATTCCTTAATGTCCCTATGGATTCCTTAATGTCTTAGCTACTAGGAAACACAATCCAAGCTTAGATCTACCACCCCGCCTATTCCCGAATTGCCCTATACCTTGCCTCACTCAGATTCCGTCCTAGCCTAGAATTTTTAAGTCACTATGGAAAAGGTTTTATAGCCCAATTCTTTCACCATTGGCCTCCCCATAACGACTGAAATGGGTTGTTACAAAAAATGTTTTCCCTCGCGCATAGATGTTTGATGAATAGATTGCCCTGAACAAAATACTTTATCAGATGGTGTTGTTGTCTTCCCACACTACTGTGGTGTATCTGGTTAGTATTTTCTGAGCGATCATAAATTTAGTTAAAATTACACTACTTATTTGTATTTCGTCATGCTAATTACCTATCTTCTTTTGAATGACACCAAAAGGGGAAAGTTGGTTACATTGTACATGAGTGGTGCATGACGATATGTGGCATGAATGAAATAATTTTGCATTGTTTGTCATCAGCAAGACGAGAGAAATTGTTGAAAAATGGGATAGTATGTATGTAGTTTTGATGATTGACAAAGTGAACCTTATTTACTACTCTCTCCATTTCACAAAGAATGACCTGGTTTGACTTGGTACGGAGTTTAAGAAAATAAAGAAGACTTTTGAATCTTGTGGTCCTAAATTAAAGTTATGTCAAATGTACAAAATTGCCCTTTAATGTTGTGGCCTTAAACATGCCACGTGGAAAGCTGAAATTAAAATATTACCAAAAAAAGAAAAAGGTCATTCTTTTTTAAACAGACTAAAAAGGAAAGGAGGTCATTCTTTTTTAAACGGAGGGAGTATTTTTTTGTCTTATGCATACTTACCACTAGGTCCCCAAGACGCGAATGCAAATAGCTTGTACAAATATGGAAGATTGCAGCAAGGGAACAAATAAATTGTAGAAATAGAAGTGCGTAAAAGAAAAGAAATAAATAGCTCAAATAAAGGATCAAAAAAAGGAAAGGAATAAACAAATAAAGAGCAAAAGTAAAGTCCAAAGAGGATTCAAAGTTTCCTGATAGGATGAAACTTTTTTTAAAGATGAAAATCCGAAATTTCCTTATCTTCAATGTGTGTGTCTCGAGAGAAATAGTCATTGGAGCAAATTTGCAGGACTTCGTCACAATAATATTGAAACCTGTTTCACGAGTTGTGTTTGAGTCTATACTATTAAGTACTGAAGTTGGATTAGCTGAAGACGAGAGTTATTGGTCTTTGTTGAGCTCACCAGTTGGAGTAACTTGATGAGTTATTCTTGTGATGTTTGGGTTGTTAAAGGCTATGGCTATTCTTTATTGAGTTGTTCTACGGTTATTATTGAGTTGTATTGAAGTTAGTAGTTGTGTGAGTGAGGTTTGTAAGAAGAAGCCAGTTTTACTTCTTTGAGAATAGTTAGAACATTTCAAGTTAACTGTTTAATTGAGGTACTAGAGTTAGTCCTTAAATTGTTGAGTTATAATCTAAAATAGTTCTTTCAATGTCTGTAAAAAATGAGGCAACACAACATGTGTTGAATCATTTTGAAGAATTGTTGGCAATCAGAAGACAATCAAGAACGATCAGACACTACGACTGGTGGAATAAAGTCTTTAGCAGCATTTATATATAAAGTGTTAGTTATAAATATCCATATTTATTATTGATACTAAACATAATATAGTGACAACTATTTTATTACCGCTAAATCTTTTATAATTGTAGTGAAAGTTCAACAAAAGATTAAACAAGTTAATCTCAAAGCCATTCACTGCCTAAGAGAGGCAAATAAAGTAGTGGGTCATTTGGCAAAGCTAGAAATGAATAATCAGAATAGCTCTTTTTTAATTTTCTACAACATCTTTTGAAGTACACATAATAGAAAAATAAGGGACGCCACCATACCACAACAATTGAAAGAAAGTGATGAAGGAAAATTATGTTTGATTACATTTTTTAATCTTTTGATGTACCTTAGTTCCTTTATAAATTAGTGTAAGAGCAGGGTCTCCCTTATTTATGTTGGATAAGACAAAATGTAAATAGGAAGAGTCGTCGTCCTATGTTAGTTGTTAGGTTTGCATATATCCTACACACCCGATAAGATAAGCCTATACACTTTAGCGATGGGGAGGCAAAGTCATAGTCCTCTTATGTGTATTTTTTATTTTGAATGATAATATTTAAGGTAGGAGTCAATGACAAAGCCCTGTAATGACATGCTAGTATGAAGTGTAGGATTGACTTTAATTAAAAAAGAAACTTATAAGTTTTCCTATGTTAAAATTGTTGAATCCCTTTTACCAATGAAATTTTATGATATAACATTCTAAAGGTTTATAGTTTGAAATGTACGTGTACTCTTCCATTTTCTGGAAACATTACTAATTTATAATAATAGATAGATGGTAATCTTTGGGTGAAATATTTAGAAGATATTTGAATTAAAAGAATAACATAACATATAGTTTTTTCAAAATAACTTTTCAACTATAGGTTGATAGTATGTTGCCCTACTACTGATAAATGTACAACTCTGATTAACATACAAGTCTAGTCATATAGTGTTCAATAAAATAGAAAGTAGAGAACACTATGATTGTAAAATAAATAGAACCGAAGCCGAATTTCATTTGAATCCTTTTTATTTAGAATATACGCTAAATCCGTAAGAAAAAACATTACAATATCAATAAGCAAATCTCTCAAAAGAGAAACACCAATTGATTACACAGTTCAAATGAGACAAGATGCAATATCATGCAATTATTGTAAAGTCAAACGTGTTTTAGGATGAGGTATAGATGTGTAAGGATAACCATGAGATTTCAATGGTAGTGGAGGTAGGTCGTAGTACTAAGATTTCCGACCAATGGGAACTGGGAATGTCGGAAATCGGAATGGAGGTAGTTGTCGAATTGGTGGAATTGTGAATGGAGGTACTTGTGGAAATGGTGGAACAAAAACTGGGAATGAAGGTAGTTGTGGCAATGGTGGAATAATTATTTGAAATGGAGGAGGTGGGGATTTAACTGGAGGTGGTGGAGATGGAGAAGGTGGTGGAGGTGGAGGTGGAGATGGCGTTGGAAAAGGCGGAGACTTAACTGGAGGTGGTGGAGATGGAGAAGGTGGTGGAGGTGGATATGGCGATGGAGGAGGGGGGGACTTAATGGGACGTGGTGGAGATGGCGATGGAGAAGGCGGGGACCTAACTGGTGGTGGTGGAGATGGAGAGGGTGGTGGAGGTGGAGATGGCGATGGAGGAGGCGGGGACCTAACCGGAGGTGGTGGAGATGGAGAAGGTGGTGGAGGTGGAGATGGCGATGGAGGAGGCGGGGACCTAACTGGAGGTGGTGGAGATGGAGAAGGTGGTGGAGGTGGAGATGGCGATGGAGGAGGAGGGGACCTAACTGGAGGTGGTGGAGATGGAGAAGGTGGTGGAGGTGGAGATGGCGATGGAGGAGGAGGGGACCTAACTGGAGGTGGTGGAGATGGCGATGGAGGAGGTGGGGACCTAACTGGAGGTGGTGGAGATGGCGATGGAGGAGGTGGGGAACTAACTGGAGGTGGTGGAGATGGAGAAGGTGGTGGAGGTGGAGGTGGAGATGGAGGAGGCGGGGACCTAACTGGACGTGGTGGAGATGGAGAAGGTGGTGGAGGTGGAGATGGCGATGGAGGAGGTGGGGACCTAACTGGAGGTGGTGGAGATGGCGATGGAGGAGACAGGGACCTAACTGGAGGTGGTGGAGATGGAGAAGGTGGTGGAGGTGGGGATGGCGATGGAGGAGGAGGGGACCTAACTGAAGGTGGTGGAGATAGAGAAGGTGGTGGAGGTGGAGATGGCGATGAAGGAGGCGGGGACCTAACTGGAGGTGGTGGATATGGAGATGGAGGAGGCGGGGACCTAATTGAAGGTGGTGGAGATGGCGATGGAGGAGGTGGGGACCTAACTGGAGGTGGTGGAGATGGAGAAGGTGGTGGAGGTGAAGGTGGAGATGGAGGAGGCGGGGACCTAATTGGAGGTGGTGGAGATGGCGATGGAGGAGGTGGGGACCTAACTGGAGGTGGTGGAGATGGAGAAGGTGGTGGAGGTGGAGATGGCGATGGAGGAGGTGGGGACCTAACTGGAGGTGGTGGAGATGGAGAAGCTGATGGAGGTGGAGATGGCGGTGGAGGAGGCGGGGACCTAACTGGAGGTGGTGGAGATGGAGAAGGTGGTGGAGGTGGAGATGGCGATGGAGGAGGCGGGGACCTTACTGGAGGTGCTGGAGATGGAGAAGGTGGTAGAGGTGGAGATAGCGATGGAGGAGGCGGAGACCTAATTGGAGGTGGTGGAGATGGAGAAAGTGATGGAGGTGGAGATGGAGATGGAGGAGGCGGGGACCTAACTGGAGGTGGTGGAGATGGAGAAGGTGGTGGAGGTGGAGATGGCGATGGAGTAAGCGGGGACCTAACTGGAGGTGGTGGAGATGGAGAAGGTGGTGGGGGTGGAGATGGCAATGGAGGAGGAGACTTCACTGGAGGTGGTTGTAGTGGAGACGGCAATGGAGGAGGTGGTGGATATGGAGATGGTGGTGGATGTGGAGATAGCGATGGAGGAGTACAATTAGGTGGTGGAGGTGGAGTTTGAATCCAGGGAAATGGTATTGGAAAAGGGAATAAAGATGGTGGGGGAGTAGATTTATTATTGCAAGGCGGTGGTGGAGGTAGGGATGGCGATGAAAGAGGTGGAGGGGATGGAGAAAGTGGTGGAGACTTAACTAGAGGTGGTGGTGGTGGAGGAGTTGGTGATGGAGGAAGTGGTGGAGATGGAGAAGATTGTGGAGGTGGAGATGGAAATACAGGAGGTGGTGGAGAAGGAGAAGGTGGTGGAGGTGGAGATGGCGATGGGGGAGGTGAGTAATTAACTGGAGGTGGTGGAGATGGAGATGGTCCAGTGGTAGGTGCAATCAATGGTGGTGATGGCAACGGAGATAGAGATGGAGATGGTCCATCGGTAGGTGCAATTAATGGTGGTGATGGCAACGGAGATGGAGATGGTCCATCAGTAGGTTCAATCAATGGTGGTAATGGCAATGGAGCTGGAGATGGTCCATCGGTAGGTGGAATCAATGGTGGTGATGGCAACAGAGATGGAGATGGTCCATCGATAGGTGAAATCAATGGTGGTGATGGCAATGGAGATAGAGATGGAGATGGTCCATCGGTAGGTGCAATCAATGGTGGAGATGGAGATGGTCCATCGATAGGTGCAATCAATGGTGGAGATGGAGATGGAGATGGTCCATCAGTAGGTGTAATCAATGGTGGTGATGGAAACAGAGATGGAGATGGAGATGGTCCATCGATAGGTTTAATCAATGGTGGTGATGGCAATGGAGTTGGAGATAGTCCATCGATAGGTGAAATCAATGGTGGTGATGGCAACGGAGATGGAGATGGAGATGGTCCATCGGTAGGTGCAATCAATGGTGGAGATGGAGATGGTCCATCGGTAGGTGCAATCAATGGTGGTGATGGAAACAGAGATGGAGATGGAGATGGTCCATCGATAGGTGCAATCAATGGTGGTGATGGCAACATAGATGGAGATGGAGATGGTTCATCGACAGGTGTAGTCAATGGGGGTGATGGCAATGGATATGGAGATGGAGATAGAGATGGAAGTGGTGGTGGAGGAGGGGGAGAATGGATTGGTGTGGGTGGTGGATTATGGTAATAAGGTGGCGGTGGAGATGGAGAAGGTGGTGGTGGAGGATTATGGTAATAAGGTGGCGGTGGAGATGGAGAAGGCGGTGGTGGAGATTCGTAATGATATGTTGGAGAAGGAGAAAGGATTGGTGGTGGTGGTGGTGGATGATGGTAATAATTTGGTGGGGGAGGTGGAGAAGGCGGTGGTGGAGATTTGTAATAATGTGGAGGAGGCGGTGATCGTGATGGAGGTGGAGGTGATTTATAATAGTGATGATGTCGTGGAGGCGGTGGTGGAGGTGATTTATAATAGTGATGACGTCGCGGAGGTGGTGGTGGAGGTGATTTATAATAGTGATGACGTCGTGGAGGAGGTGGTGGAGACGATTTATAATTGTAACGACGTCGTGGAGGAGGCGGTGGAGGCGATTTATAGTAGTAACGACGTCGTGGAGGAGGAGGCGGGGGGGATTTATAATAGTAACGACGTCGTGGAGGAGGTGGTGGAGGCGATTGTGGCCTATAACGGTATGACAAAGATGATGAATCATCAATGTGGGGCTTATAATCAGCTGCTACACTAATGACTATCAAGCAAAAGGCAAAAGCATAAACAAGAAGGGGCCATTGCAACTTTGATGGTGTTCCCATATTGGAACTAAATTAGTTTGTTGTTCTTGCAACATTGGTGGAAGAATTAGCTCTTTATATAGCAAGAGACCAAACAATTGATAAAGACAAGTTTATTTTTTTTTTGTAAAGAAAAAAAAAACTGGCTCAAAACATTTAGAAAAACAAGTACAAACTGGCCAAATGATCTTTGAAAAAAACAAACTAAGCATATAGAATCTCATCTTAATTATTATGAAATAGTTTCCTACTAAACTATGGGTTTAGTTCATGGTAGACCATGAATTAGTCAAGATCAAGATCATGTATCATTGTTTTGTATTTGCATTTTACATATGAATTTGTTTTTTTCAAAATTTAAGTTATAGCTCCAAATTCTTGAAAATCTTGACTTTAGGTTATCTTTTGTAAATTGGATTTCTTCGTTACATGAGAATTTTTTCGTCAAGAGAAAAAGTAGAGGAAACCAACCAAACAAATGATTGCAACTAACTCGTTGCTATTTTTATTTTATTTAGTGTATGCCATCTTGAATTTGTTTTTTTCCGTCCGATGTTCAATATGTGTCCAAAACTCGAACTCGAGATCTTTGATTAAGGGAGGAGCAACCCTATCCATTGCACCACATTTTGAATCTGTTCTTGTCTATACACTATTATTCTAAAATCTATCCAAAACACGATGTTTGTTTAAACTTTATTTTTCAATTTAAAAATGACATTAGAAATAAGGAAAAACTACCTAATTACACAAATATGGTAACCATGCATAAGTATGAATCCACTGTATAATTTGAAAAAAAATACGTATTGTCTCTCACTAATTTTATAATTTGGTACTAGATTGATACACCATTCTTTCATATTTTAAGTCAAATACATGTATCAAAGACACTAGATACATTTTGAAATACAAATACACAGGGAGAGAGCCGAGCGAGAGAATCAACATATATCTTTTGATACTAGATACATTCTAAAATACAAATATATAGGGATAAAGGTGCGTGAGAGAGTAAGTGTGTATCCTAGATACATGTGAATCACGATTAGTTATGGTGTATTTAGAACAAATTACACCTAATTTAACCTATATACATCCGAAATACATGTATCTGAGTTTACCATTTATATGTATCTTACAAAATAAATATGATGCAGAAGGTAATTTTGAAAACTAAAAATGGCACATAATTAGGCCCTAATCTTGTGAATTTTGTATTTTTTTCTCTAGAAATATTTTTTACTTTTTAGGTGTTTCATTGATTCAGGGTGTGTACCGTTTAAGGGAAAATAATTTCTATTCTTTTTTTTTAATATTTTCATGTTTGGTTGATTAAATATTTTGAAAAACTTATTCTCTAAGATATTATATTTTTAAAATAAGGAAAATAATTTCTCTAATAAAAGTAGGGAAAACAAGTTCCACTAGTGTTGTTCCACGCTGCTTGTGCCCCTCCTCGCTCTCTTAACACACCGTATTTTCATTCCAAATCCACTATTCCCTAACCCACCCATCCCACCCCACCCCACCCACCCCCACCCCTTGTATTATTTATTTAGATTATACACAGATTCTTTAATGATAATTTGATTTTAATTACATATTCAATACAAGTAAATAAATTTTAAAAAATTACTTATTTAAGGAATTTCAATTCCTACATAATTAGTTATGGAGGAATTTATGAATATGAGTATTGTTTATTTGAAAAAAACGATACAATTGAATTTATTCTGAGGTTAAGAACATATGGATTAATTTCAATTACAAATTAGAGATTTATTAGATTAGAGATTCCGGTGTGAGTATTATTCTTTGTGGATCTGCCATAGAAGAGAAACTAATGAGAAAAAAAAACTTAGAATGTTAATATAATGTCTTGTATATCAAAAATCCAACTTTTATAAATGAATAACTTCATTATTGCGACAAATAGAATACTTCAACCAACAAAAATGTTTTGTGTTGTCTAGCACACACAAGTGTATGTGATCGCAAGTAATAAGTGAATACTTGTACAATTTAATTTATCAATTTCATAACGACTTAATTACTGAAAAGTTATCAATTTCATTATTTTACTTATTAGAATTAGTGTTGTTCAGTTTTAGAGAGTTTATTTTGATGATTTATTCTATTTATGAATTTGACAAAAAAAAAATAATATTAAAGAAGATTGAGTAGCAAAAGTTGTTCACACAGAGATTAAGACATACAGTTGCGTCGACCGTTTGCGTAATTCTATCCCATCTAGTTATAGTTGTTAAGCATATGTAAGATATCTAATGATTGTTGAATCACGGGGTTGATAATATGTTCATGATCTCTCTAGCCTCTAACATTTTGTCCAAATTGACCTGATCACACCTACATAATTGAGCAGGGATATGGTAATCAATCCAAATGCATTTATATATCTTCATGTATCTGATCCAAGTGGGCAAACTAGATACATTGTCATTTTAGTCGCTAATCCATCCGAAGATGAACCCAACTCCCCTTAATCGTTCTATTCCTAACTTTCTTCTCTTGAGTTTCGCTAGCAATTGTCCATTTATTTTATGGATAGTGAAGCCACAAAATAATTGAGTATAAGATTAAAAAAACAACTTATTTTGAGACAAAAATTTTTTTCATAAAATAATAATTATTTTGAAATGAAGAAAATATCAACTTTTCTGAATTAACTTTTAAGTAGTGTTGATAATTTTTTATTTTTGGTTTGAGACTAAAAAAATACTTTTTAGAAAAATAATTTCTGATCCAAAAATCAACCCCGATAATTGATCCAAGACCCGACCCTGACACCCAGACTGAATTTTTTAAAATTTGAAATATTTTTCAAAATAATTTTTTTTTAAAAAAATTGATGGGGTGGCTTGGGTTCGGGGGGGGGGGGGGGGAGGGGGACGTAGAGGTGAGGTTGGCGAAAAAATGATTTTTTTTAAAATTTAAAATACTTTACAAAAACAATTTTTTTCTAAAATTTTTTTTTGACCGGACTGGCCTGGGTGGGGTGGGGGGGGGGGTAAGGGCAGTTTTTTTTTTAATGATGTCTTAATACATTGGATATCCAATAATAAGGGATACTATGCTTTTTGCCAATAAAAATGGTAATTGAAGTCATAACTCTGTTAATGGACATGAAAATACGTAAATATTGTAATTATTGTAACTAGGAGGGGCAAACATGTAAATGGAGACTGATATGAAAAGTCGAAATCGAATTAAATTAAAATGAATAAAATATTTAATTTGGTCTTAATGAACACATAAAAAGTTGATTAATTGATAAGTATTCATGTTATTTATGATTTCAGAAATAATTAGATAAAAACACAAAATAAAAATCAAAATAAGTTGAAATCAGTGTTTTAAAAGGCGGGGGCGTGAGGTGGGGAGTTTTACTTAGCATAGGGCGAGTCGTAAGCCTCGAGGGCGTAAGCCCTATGGATCTTTGAATTTTTAATTTACAATATATAGTATAATAATATAATAACACAAAATTATAAAAATGCATCAATAGTTTAAAATAATTACAAACATGATCAAGGAATCTCATAGAAAATAAAACTTCTAACATTATTATACAAGTATAAATAATCTAATATCTTAACTTTCTAATAATAAAAGAATCATTATTTCTAAATATATATATATATATATATATATATTATCATACTATACAACCAACCCCCTACAAGAAAATAATCAAAAAAAGCTTATTATTATTATAATAAAAACATCACTCCACCATGAATAAAAATAAAATTACATTTAAATAGCTAAATAAAATATGGAAATTTTGATGCATATGACAAAAACATAAAAATCAATGATAAGTGAAAAAGTAAAGTTTTGCTATGTATTTTTAAAAGAAATGCCCTCACAGTATTACCAAATAGTAAATATGTAATACTACAACTTGTTATTTGAGTTACTCTCAAGATTCTTATTTCTATAGATTAAAAATTATTAAGTATCATTCATTTATTCAAGAATTATGAGAGTCAACAATGTTAACTAAAGAATTTAATTAACACATAATTTGTGTAAGATCTATTAGGTAAGCCCTGAACGTTGGGCATGCTTAGGGCATACAATCGGACGCCTAAGACGTAAGTCTTACAGAACTAAGTCTCACACTTGAGTTTGAAGGCGTTTTACTAGAGCCCCGCCTCAAGACGAATCCTGAGACGAGTCTCAACAAAGCCTTTCAAAACACTAGTTTAAACTCTCAGAATTCAAAAAGCAAGGAATTATTAAAAAAAAAAATAACAAGCAAAAGACAAATGAGTGTTGACAATATGGATATTTATATTTTCCGTCTAATTATCCATATTTAGTAGATAACATGGACGATATTTATATTTAATCCATTTTAAATAATTAGTTATCCAACCCATATTTTTAATATTAATAAGTCGAACGAAATGATTACATGTTTTTAAAACCATTTTATGAGCCTTAATTGGAACCATAGAAATCCAAAACTATGGTATTATCAATTACAAAGAGTTTACATCTTTCTACGAACAGAATTCTAAATTTAGATTTGAAAATTCTCAATATATATATATATAACAAGATATAGATTTATATAAAACGCAGTATAATTTCTTGCATATTGGCATAGTTCAGATTACTTTTAAATCATTAACTCTTAATGGGTTATCTGAGACATTTTTAGCTGCTCTTCGTGATGCTAGAAATTTGAATTTTCGACAATCTTTGATGGGTTCGATTGAATCCACTATGGCATATGATCCAATATATTTTAACACTCAGCCTAATTTGCAGTTATCTTTAACTGATGTTAATATTCTTGATGCTTTAACTTTAAAGAGCATGCTTATAGAACAATTTTTAATGTCCCATTTGGACACAGTAATATTATATTATATTATATTATATTGATGGTACATTTAAGTCTTTTCTCATTATATTATAAATCTTTAACCAATTAAATAAAAAAAATTAGATCTTTTATGACCTTATATTTTTTCATTATTAACCGT